CTTGACTAGAGTGTCTAGGCATTGCTAGATTACAAATCTGTTCTGTGCAGTTTTTTACCACATATTAAATTATTTGGGGATATCAAGGAAAAGACCAGAAGGGAATTCAATTATTACTAGTTACTCCTAGTGAGAAGTTCATGAATACATTTAATAATTCCAAAAAGGAGAAGAATCACTTGTCAAGAGAAACAGAACGGGAAGGTTTTAGTGTTATCAAAGCTAGTAAGTGGAGACCCAACACACTATTACAGAAGTTGTTAAAAGTCACACTATACCACATGATCCTGCAGTTGAACCCGTAATCCTGGTTTTATTTTCAGAATCTCAGACACAAGGTACAGGGCTCCACAAATGAAGGGTGGCATTTGTCCAGATGTGACTTGAAGTAATCTTTTCACAAAGGCCTTCACCCGTCGCAACACTACATCTGCCTTCACAGACTTGTAAACAAGATTTAGAAACATGGACTGCTTTGAACATGCTGTTAATCCTGGATCCAGCAGTTTCCTGTGCAAAACATAGGATTATCAACAACATTTGTTTCTATTTATCTATATACTATAGCATAATTACCATTAGTGTGCTAACATTTACCTTTTCATATAACAGACTGGTATCTAAAAAAAGTAGTTAGTTCTTATTCTAAAGCAGTGTTTCTCAAAGTGGTCCACAAAACCACTTTGAGAAACCTGCTAACTGGCTGCACTTACTTACTGGTGCTATGGCCACAGAGCTTGGCAGCTCTCATTGGCTGCGGTTCATTGTCTGTAGTCAAGGAAAGCCGTGGGAAGCAACTTGGACCATGCTACTTCCCACGGCTCCCCTGAGCTGCAAATGGCGAATCGGAGCCAATGAGAGCTGCGAGACTGTGGTGCCGGTAGAGTAAACACACTGAAGGAGCCAGTTAGTAAGTCTCTCACAGTGGTTTCATGGACCACTTTGAGAGACACTGTTCTAAAGTGTAAGAAAATAGTACAGTAAATACTGAATGGTTAATTATGACAACTATTGGAATTTCTATATACAATATTTAACATGAAAAACATTTCTGAATAGTCAGATTACAGAAAAACAGGGCAAGTCTCAACAGAAAGCAAAAACATCATGATTAGAGTTTGAAATGTTACAAAAGAACAGGTTAAATTGATCTAAGTAATCTCCTTGCACTTTCAAAGAACAGAAACAACAAAAAGTGGGAAAGAAAAGGATCAGCCCCCTTGAGCATACTACCTGGCCTCAAATCAGAATTCCACTGTCTTATTTTTCAGGTCAGCAAGGGCTGTAAGACACTGCATGAACAGCATGTTTTACGCAAAGAAGAATAAAGGGAAGATGAATGGCATATAAAGGTTTTGAAGGGAATTTCAAATAGTTAACAGAAAAAAGGATGGTTTTAAAATGCAGAGCCTTTAGGGTGATCTCATCTAATAGCTCTCAATCTTTTCAGACTACTGTACCCATTTCAGGTATTTGATTTGTCTTGCGTACCAAGTTTCACTTAAAAACTACTTGCTTACAAAATCAGACAAAAATACAAGTGTCACAGCACACTGAAAACTTGCTTACTTTCTCATTTTTACCATATAATTATAAAATATAAGTAAACATATTCCAGTTCATATATTTCAGGGTATAGTATATAGAGCTGTGTAAACAAGGCATTGTATGAAATTTTTAGTTTCTACTGAGTTTGCTAGTGCTTTTTACGTATCCTGTCGTAAAACTAGGCAAACATCTAGCTGAGCTGATGTACCCAGAGAAGACCGCCGTTTATCCCTGGTTGAGAACCATTCCCTTGGACTCTCAACATCTTTCTCTGCCTCAAAAGTATGGATACAAGAGTTTAGGCAAACTATTAAAACAAAAATTAGACAGATAGCAACACATTACAGAAGCAGGTGAAGATCAGCACGTTTCAAATTTAAGAACGGGGTTAAAACCCATAAAACTGTAAAATGGTTATGTTTAAATATTGTTTTGAGGATCTGTGTGATTGTCGTGTCATTGCCATTTCTATACTTTCTTCAATGTTCATTACAGAATGCACACAAGTATTTAATAATATCAAAATTTTTTGCACAAGATTAGAAACTCGGTCCGTGTGATTAACAGCAAAACGAAGTACTTCATATGTTTCAACAACAGTATTTTTAGTTAATTGTTACCATTTCACAAAGTGAAATTTAGATCACCAAGTCAGAGAATTTATCAATCACTTACTTGTACAATGCTGCATAATATCTATCTGATACAGTCTGATGAGAGTCCATTACTTGGAAAAGCAACATCAGGACCTGGACACTGGTGCTGAAGTTCACAAGATGTAGAACCTTAAACAAAGTGTTCATCTGCTCTTTCACTTTCTCATCACCAATCTGAGCATAAGGGTAAGCTCTGTTCACCCCAGTCAGAAGGGCACTAAGCATTTTGGATTCAACTTCTTTTTTCTTGATACAACTCCGAAAAAAGCAAAAATATAGAGTTATCAGTTTGTTAGCCAGATCATTTTCCTCATGGCTGAGGACTATCTGATTTAAAAAACAAATGGCATAATATTGAGCTTTCGGGCTAATGTTTGATCTGTAGAGAAGCCTCTCCACTTCATTACACACTACTCCTTTCATGTTTGGATGTTTATAAAGTAAGGTCTCCAGAAGATAAGAGGCCTTGGTGGCTATTTTGTTTTGAGGATCTCCCAGTTTATTTACCAGCTGCACAAGAAGAGCTTTCTCCTCTTCTGGCTTGTTACAGAGAAGCTCATAAGCAACAGCAAGGGCTCGAGTCTTAGTTGCTACCAGAGAATCATGGGTCAGTGTTTCTAATACCTGCACAAACTCTGCCACCAAGTGTTTCAGTTGATGCTCAAAATACCATAATATCAATCGCCTATCCCTTGAATCTCTGTTGCCACTTGAAAGCTTTTCCAGTTTGTCAAAAGGATGTTGAGAGAAAGTGCGGAGTTTACGATTGTCTGGTAAAAGATCTGAGAGGAGAAGCTCCTTGAAAGTATCCAAAGCCATTAGGCTCTGACGCCTGCTGCCCTTCTTTTTGATAAGGTTCACTAAGGTCTCAACAAACTGGAGAGTGTGGACAGACCCATCTTGGATAAGAAGGGTCATGGCTGCCATTCTGTCAGCCAGTGTACCTGACGACACAACAGTGTTCATCCAAGCAGAGGAGGTCCCCTTCTGAAGATTTGTCTTACTCTTATACAGGTCGGCCTCTTGCTGATACAGTCTTTGAGCCAAGGCTTTATACTTTGATACAAACATCTGATTTTGTTGCTCAGGTGAGAATTCACTGGTGTACTCTAGATCATACCATTTACCTCCTGGTTTGATCAGCAATATTTGTCTAGGATGAAATTCAAACACCTCTTCTTGTTTCTGTTTCTTTAGCATGGACACTGTAGAAACGTGCTCTTCCTTACGCTGACCTGGCTTCTTCCCATCTTTACCACTATTTATCTTCGCTTTTCCTTTGTTTTCTTTGACTTGATTTTCTTTCTCTCCTTCTACTGAAGAGGCGGTGATTTCCTTTTTACAGATTTTCTCTTTCTTTGCTGGCTTCTCCTTGTTTTCATTCTCCTCTATCACCAAGAATGTTTCTGAATATTTGCACACGCCTAGTGACTTAACAAATGATTCTAGTTCACCCTTCCCCAAGTCATCAATTGCTCCTTGTTTACCACCATCCACTAGTTCCTCTGCCTCATCCAGCGCAGCAAGCATGAGATAATCTTGCTGCATGAAGCAAAACCAAACAAAAAAATCAGTTAAATACTTATAAAAGTAACTGCAGCAACACAAACAGGTGCCATACAAATGATATACAGAAAGAAATCCACTCACACGCAGAATGTGGGGAAGGCTGGGGGCAGTTTTCCTTCATGGGCCAGGTCTGGGGGCTCAGGGCACAGCACAGTAACCACGTGAGACACTGGTAAGGTTGCCAGGTGTCCAGTATTTAATCGGACAGTCCAGTAAAAAAATTCAGAAAATGCCAGATATGTGCAATGTCCAGTATTTTCTGGTTTTCCGGCTGGGCACCCCACGGAAGCCTGGCAAGGACAAGGGGAGTGGCTGGGAGGCAGGGTACCATCAGCACTGGGAGCCTCTTGTTGCGTCTGACATAGGAGTGATGCCTTGGGGAGGAGGAGAAGCCCTGTCTGTGCTCCTGAGCGCCGTTGAAGCGCTGTGGAGCCGTTGGTGGACTCGCTCGTGCTTCGCCGGCACCATGCGCGGGACAGGCAGCACCCTGGGATCCGCATGTGCCCGGGTCAGTCCCGCTTCCCGCCAGCCAATTCTCCCCCTGTCTACCTTCTACAGACTAGCCGGCCTGTTCTCATCACGGTGTCCCCCAGCCAGCCCTGCTTCCCGGCCCCCCCTTCTTCCCGGCCAGCCCCGCTCCCCCACGATCAAGTGTGTCCGGTATTTTTTCTGAAGCTACCTGGTAACCCTAGACACAGGCTGGGCGCTGCCCCGGCCCGGAAGCCGCTGCCCGCCGGACATTAATAAACAAATCGATTCTCTCCCCCCCTGCGGGGATCGGCGCGCGAGGGAGCGTCACTGGCCTGCTGGCTCCACACGCCGCAGGGCGCCAGACGGGCCTGCCACCGAGCCGGGCTCAGGCCGCGCAGCGGAGGGACGGGGAAGGGCCGGTTCCCCCGCAGCCCCCCGGGGCGTTCGCCCCCTCGGCCACCGGGCCCGGGCGCCCCCCTCCCTCAGGGCCCCACGTGCTGCGCTGCCGCCCCGCGCCTCCTCACCTTGGTGCCGCCGAGGCGCAGCACGTCCTGCAGCGTGAACTCGCCGTCGGCTCCATCCTCCTCGTCTGTCTCGTCAGGCTCCCTCGGACCGAGCGGCGCCATCACCGCCCCGCAAGGCCCGGCGCGTGCGCTCCATCCACTTCCGGCCGGAGGCGGCAGGTCCGGCAAGGTAGAGAAAGAGTGAAAGAAATTCCAGTCTGAGAAGGCGGGGAGGGCGCCCTCGCTCCTGTGCCGCCAGAGACCCCCTCCCACTTCCTGTCTCGCTTGTGACCTGGCTCGGCCGAGGACTCATTCCCTTGCCTGTATTCGGCGGGGAGAGAATGATACACAGCAGCCAGGAACTGGCACCGTCAGGTCAAAGGTGGAGGGTCAAAGGGCACGAGTGCTGCAGGCATGGCCCGCCTGCTTGCACGGCGCGCTCAGCTCGCGGCTGCACGAGGAGTCTCTGGGCTGAAGCGACTCCTCCGTCACCATGGTAACAGCCGGGCCCTGCGCTGCAGCCGACGCCCTGAGCCGAGCCCAGCTCAGAGCGCCCTGCCCGGGCACGACGGGGGCGGCGAGTCCGGGGCCCGGGCCTGGCGGGAGAGGTTCGGGTGCAGCCCTTCCCCAGTGGCAGCCTGTAAGCAGAGCCCCCCCTGCTCGGAGCAGGAGCCGCGCCCCGCCGCTACCCCGCTGGCCAAGGCAGCTGCAGCCGGCTCGACGGGTCACCTCATGGCAGCAGTTGCCTTTAGCGGGGCGTGTCTGTGTTTCTCCAGCTCTCCCGCCTGCCCCCAGGCGCCGCTGCTTCGGTTCGGGGAGCAAAGCAGAGGACCGCGGCCAGGTGACTCCCCTGCTAAAGCACCTCACGTTCAAAATAAAGTCGACCGGCCCCATTACAGTCGCCGAGTACATGCGGGAAGCCCTAACTAATCCCGTGGAGGTAGGTCCGTGTGCAACTTGCTGCTCCCCCACGCACGGGGGGGATACACGGTGACATCCCGACACACGGTGACATCCCCAGGGCTGACATCTGGCAAACGCCCCTCTCGCTCTCAAACCGTGTGCGCGTTTCTTTTAATGGACAAGCGAGACCGGCCTCATAATATAATTTGTAACCAGGATGGTAACTTGTCAGTGGTTGAGCTTTGCATATAGTTTGTGCCCACATATCACATGGTTAATTAATAACTATCACAGCTAACCGTGGCCCACAGTTGCTTTCTTAACTAGTTTAACATGCTCTGGTTTGGAGAAGATTTATTTGGAAATGGGAAGCAGAGGAGTGATTTGTAATGTAGACCCCTAATTGTGACAGTACAATCAGACTACCTGCTCCTCCCAATTCTCTGTAGGATAGACTAGGACAAACTTCCTAGAAGGGGCTGCTAGTACTACTTTGTCCGCTTGCCTTCCTTCA